CTTAAACTTTAATACCTACAAAATAGAATATTTTTATATAAAGAATTAAATGTTACTCACTGAGGCCACCCCTCCCCGGTCTGCACCGCGAACAGCGTAAGCATGGCCACGGCGACATTGTCGTAATGGAAGGATTGCGTCGTCCACGTCCGCTGGCTGACGCGCGGCAATAGGCTGTTTGACTCGTACACGAAATACGACCCTCTGTTACACACGATAAAGTTCAGGTTAAAGTTTCAAGAAATATTTGTCAAATAAAATTGTTGGTTTTGATAGTCAAGTTTTGTAACATTTTAGCTATCATTCTTTTGTCAATAGTTGTACACTTCCATATTTGAATTTGACTTTAAAAGAGAAACAGTTTCAGGACTACATCAACACAATGACTTTAGCGTAGGCATATAAGGAAATACAAATAATATGTCAGCTAACACGTTAACGTAATGTTTCCTCAAAATTGTTTTCTCCACATAAAAGTTTAAAGACACATAAATAGATAATCATTAACATTAATAATAATAAAACTCAATACTCACTGGCAGTCTTCAAAAGTATTCTTACTGATATCGTTGCAGTGAAAAAATTTACCATTAAAAAGTTGAACTGCAATTACAGCGAATATGAATTGAAACAATATGTACACAATGAGAATGTTAATGACGTTTTTCAAAGAGTTCACAACACAGTCAAACACTGCTTTTAACTTTGGAACTCGTTTTATAGTTTTCAAAGGTCTGAGCACTCGTAACACTCTTAACGATTTTATCGTGGACAGGTTCTGCCCTGCGCCCTTTTTCACGCCTCTGTAACAAAACAAATAATTTTGATTATAAAACATGACAATTTTTATAGGTCTTTTAAAAACTGCAGATGTACAGGACTGAAAGATATGAATCTGGCTTTGAATTAAAAACATCGAATTTATTTCCAAGAAATCCAGTCAACAGTCTCAAATTAAATTTCATAAATGTTCAAAAAACATTGAAATTAAGTAGAGCGCTATTATCAAAAATTCGATACATTATAAACTTTAAATTTCATATTATTGCAGTGCAACCTAGATTTTTCCCATATAGCGATGCTTATAAAAGCTAGACTAAAATCAAAATCATAAATACAATGACATTAAAAACATACCCGATCTCAAATCCGAAGCTGACAAGGGCGCATATAACGACAGCGGCATCCATGATGTTCCACAGGTCGCGTAAGTACGCGCCCGGGTGGAACAGGATGCCAAGATCCACTATCTTCAGCAACATCTCCACGGTGAACACGCCCGTGAACGCGTAGTCGAAGTAGTTCAGGATCTTGTTCCTGTTGAGTTAGAGGGAAATATAGTAGGTGTTGTTGGGTGGAGTGGATTTCGATGAAGAACTAATTGACCAAATGAAGAATTATTGTCAATAGCATCCCACTGAACTTGGCTATGGAAAGTATAACAATGACCTTGAGGTATAACTGAACCTTGATACGGATGCTAATTCAAGTGAAAATGATAAACAGATGGTAAATGTCCAGAAGTATGATGACTTTAAACAAGGAAGTGCATTGGCTGTTAGTGTAACAAAGAGATGACATTAGTTAAAGATCATGATGAAAAAGAAAGTTGGAAAGTCAACGTACCTGTCACTCTCTTCCACTACGGGGTCTTCAGCCGCTAAAGCCGCAGAACTCATACATATAACTACCATGATAAAAAAATCAAAATATCTTAAATTTACAACCCAGTGTGCGCCTCGCCTAATTCTGTAACACAAAAATAATGTTGCATTAGATTCATATCATGAATGCAAGTTCAATCTTGTAACGCTACGCTTATTTCCTATGGAGTCATATCAACTTACGGATTAGTAGGTGACAAAATAAACATGGACGAATATGGCAGCATTGGTTTTGGTCCATCTGGTACCTCATCTTCATCTTCTTTTTTGGCCTCTTCTTTCTTTTTGTTCTGGAATATTACAGGTCAATGATACTATACGTTTACTATAATAATTTCATCTACAATGTTTTCACTACTTTCTAATTATCGTACTCTGGCTCTATTAAATTTCTTTAAAACAACCGAAGACTGCTACACTAAGTTTGTCAACGGTTTCATATACAAGATGATTTTGTAGCTATGATTACTTATTCGGGCGAATAAGTACACATTCAGGAATAAGTTAAAGTTGATGTTATAAAAATTACATTTAGATCAAAATAAATACCATAACACAAGCCATTACTTTATGAATGTTGTATACAACATGCGTTACCAATTAATGTCGCAAATAGAAACCAAGAATTTAGTAAATGAAAGGAAGAAATGATTCTCAAGCCAAATTCATGTATTGAAATTAATGAATACGTAAGTGTTTCTCATGAAGTTTATAGCCACCTAGTAGAAGTTAACGTAAAAATCAAATAGACTTTTGACATCCATTAGCCATCTAGAGATAAAAACCATAAAGATTTTATAAAAAACACCTATCATGACATACTGCTCACATAAGCGACATCGACCCGTCTAGCGTACTTAAAATATTGTTGACATCGATGCTATGAACGAACACACACAGAAGGAGCATCATATTAGACAGCGTGCAGTGTCATGCAGTGTTAAGAAAAGCTGCAGAATGAGGTCACAGAAGAGTTAAGTGGGAACTGTGGGAATTTATAATATCAACAATATTTTAAGTCGTCGACACCAATACATTTTGAAGCTTTGCCAATGCCGAACTCGTTTTACCTTCCTATGCGTCGGCGTTGCCGGACTTATTGGTATTCCTGGTGGAGAACCGTCCACCGCGTGTAATGCACCCATCTCTTTCTCCAATTCCTAATTATCCGGAATAATGTATGAAATATGTACAAATTTCGTACAAACCAACAGCTTAAACCAATTAGTACAACCGCTTGATAATATGTCGTAATGTTTGTGGGAGAGTGGTTGAACATGCTATGGCTTTGAAATTGTGATACTATCAACTAAACTCCAAAGCACCAGAGGATGAACACTAGAGTATAAACAAGTAGAAGCGCATGACTTACTTGGAGTTGTTTCTCCTTGTCCTCCTCGACTTGTTCCTCTTCAGCCGCTGTCAATTCCTGTAAATACAGATTTGCAACATTTACACAAAAAGCGGCGTTAGATTTACAAGAGCGCGATGACGTCAACATACATCAATTTGGCAAACGTTTCGTTTGTTCACGCACATTTAACATGTTTTACGTTACTTGATCTTATTGTAAAATTAGGGAAAGTTAACTTTCCTCAGGATCATGCAAGATCAAGTAACGCAAAAGAAAATGAATGTATGTACGCACCTGGGCATTAGCCAAGTTGTCGACAGCGATGGCAAGGAACACGTTTAGCAGCGTGTAGTTGCCAAACAAGACGAGGATGACAAAGTACAGCGAGTAGATCATGCCTCTCTGGATGCCGCCCTGAGACTGGATGCCATCATACATCACTTCGTTCCAATCTTCACCTGTTAGGATCTGAAATAAAAATAAAAAAATATGTTAGTTTCACTAGCAAACCGCACAACACAGCAATGGCAAGTTAGAAAATGTTTTTACTTAAATATACTGTTCCTTCACAGAATATAAATAAAGAATATAAATAAAGAATGTTATTGATAATTTTATTACCTGGAAGACAGTAAGCAACGCAATAGGAAAGGTGTTGAAGTTGGTCGGTGGTGTGCCATCCTCGAAGTTGAACTGTCCTCCGAACAGTTGCATGCCGAGTAGTGCGAAGATGAGAATGAACAAGAAGAGAAGGAACAGCAGCGAGATGATGGATCTCATTGAGTTGAGGAGAGATATCACCAGGTTCCGAAGTGATGACCAGTACTTGGTGACCTGGAAAACACAAATAACATTATGAGAATAGAAATCCAAAAACTCATTTCAAACAGTTTCTCCAGGAAAGTCGTTGGTAAGGGTAACATTGTGATTATTATTGGAAAATCAAACTTTACCTTGAATATCCTCAGCAGTCTTAGAGCTCTCAAGACAGATAGACCGAATGAGCCACCCTTGACTTCTGACCAGACGACCTCAAAGATGGAGCCAGAGATGACGACGCAGTCGAACCGGTTGAATGATGACTCGAAGTAAATCCGCGGTCCTAACGCGTACATCTTCACCCACATCTCCATCATGAACAACCCCAGGAACACAAATTCGGCATAGTCTGAGAAAAGAAAAAAAAAATATCATTAGATAGGTTCATTTCGTTTCAGAACATTTCGCATCGAACATAAAATTTTAAAACTCACATAAAAATGAAGTCAACCACTTGGGTTGTCTGTAATGCTCTACAGCGACGCATATCGTGTTGAAGAGCACCAAGACAATGACGAACCAGTAGAACCACTGGGTCTTTACAGTGTGCCTGATCCAGAACCGAAACCTCTTTTCGGCTCGCCAGAAGTTTGCAAACCTCCCAGCTGATCGGGCTTTACTTTTCAGAAAACCTGTTGCAAACAAACACTTATTAGCACATTCCTTGATTCCAAAGTTGCCGTTGATCTTGCAATGGATATAAAACACTCTAAATTGCTGATTTCCGTATAATTTAAATTGATGGTAAAGTTAACCTTCAAAATATTAGTTTACCTTATTTAATTAGTTGTTATGATTACATCGCGTGTAAATATAGTCGTGTTACCAAATGTCGGCAATTTAAAGGGTCTAATGTTTATTGCATGATCAACGGCATTTGCATTTAACTAAGGGATTCGGGTTCAACATTCAACTAATTGTTTATTAACTCTAGCGTTTACGCACGTAACGATAGCAGTCCTAGTGATACTGTTTCACAGATTTGCGACACAAATGCTCTCGTGGTTTTAAAGCTGGTTATTGATCGTTAAGTTTTATAACACCCAGTAATTGGCCGATATGGAAACGGCATCGAAATTCAATCGGGGTCGCAATCCGAAACTTCGCTCGTATAAATCACTAACAACCGTCTTCTGAGATATCGTCATGTTATCTCCAGAAAAATATGTATGTTACGTTTTATGGTAACTTTTTGGTGAAGCTCACGACGTACAAGCTTTGGGGGTGGGTTTTGGAAATAGCGGGTCTAGAGGTAGAAGAGTAGCAAGGGATAATACAGTAGGTTTTCCGACGCCTGTACGTTGAACACATACATCGAATGTTGTGAAGAAATATAATTTCTCCATTTCACTAATTTTGAAGCAGACGTACAAACGTTTATAGTTTGGGTTAGACACAGGTAGGGTAACTATTCCTAAATCTACGACTAGTCTATTTGACTACTGTAGAAGATGAAAAGGAATATTCTACCAGCATCACGTTTGATCCCATACCTTGCTTTTTCTTTGGAACTGTAAACAACCAACACACAAATAGAGTACGAATACGCAATGATGATGAAAATGAAATAAAAGAGTTAGTTATCCACAAATAACATGCAACATTCATGAATTTACAATAGATTTACGTGAAAGAATAGGATAACAATTTAATGATTACAAATGTGACTAATGTACTGGAAAGTTAAAAGATTCCTAACCACACTGTTGATTATAGTTACAGAGACGAAAATGTAAATAAAGATAAAGAAAATAAGGACATGCTTCTAAAAATTGGTTCCTGATTATAAAACGAAAATGAATCTGTAGTTTAAGTAGAAAAACTGGTTATTTGAACTGTAGTGGATATACACACAACACGACACTCAGATTACAGAATGTGTAACATTCATGTTAAGTTAGTTGATACTGACCGTCATCACCGCAGTCTTCATCTTGTTCTTCCTCTTCTGTGTCTGTGCTTTTACTTTTACCAAGGTTTTTTAACTTCTTTTTGGCCGCTGCTCTTCTTCGTGCTGTTGGTAAAATAGATTCATTATTAATTTGTCGTCTCACAATATACAAGTAAGTTTCGAATTATGTAATTTACTAAAAGTTCTTGAGATTCCTTTCTAAACGCTTACCTTCTATTATGTGCATCTTTTCTTCTTCTGTTGTTCTTTCTTCTGCTAATATTACTTCCTCTGTAAGTAAAAATATATCATTAGAAGGTGGTAATTCAGGTCTTCATCTTTTGGTGATTATCTTTTTTAACTAATTAGTCTAGTTGGGTTATTCATGCGTTATTATATTGGTATTTCTCACTTACCTGCTTTACATATCCACTCAACGTAACCATTGAGTTCTCTCTCGAGTTGCTGCTGTCTTCTTAATTTAAGAAATTCTTGTCTATTTTCTACTTTCTCTCTTTCTTTAGCGAACTCACTGCAAATATAATTATGCATATTGAACTACTCTAGCACTAATAATGACATGAATTTCAAGTAATATCAGAATTTATTAATTTTAAAATGAGATTTGTGAAAATTGATAATTTTTGTTAGATAACAATGGGCGTTGATCAAGTAATAAAAACAGCTGTAAGAAAAAAATTGGTACAAAAATCTAGCAATACAGATTACGAATAAATCACACAGACTACGAAGAAAACACTTAGAAAGAATATTTAAGTGTCATCATTAGCTTATACAGAATATTTAACAACCACATTAACATTATTTCGTTTTCTAGCTTTATTCGAACACTCAAAACCGTTATTCAAAAGACCTGCTTCAGTGATCCAGTTGAGGTATGCATTGAAGTCTGCGTTGAACATTTGACGAGCTCGTTCTTTAACGAATTGAGCCCTTCTTTCTACGCGACCTCTTTCATTAGAAAACTCTCTGGATATTTATGAGAAAATAAATAAAATAGAAAAAAAATATGAAAAACGAAAATAATTAATGCTGAAATGACCAAGTTGTTTACAACTTACCCGCTAAGAACACCGAGAACTAAGTTGAGCATAAAGAATGAGCCCAATACTATGAGAGGCACAAAGTAAATCCAGTTGAACGCACTACCTAGCGCGTCATTCGTCTGTAACAAAGAAAGGCATCACTTAGTCACAAAGAAATGAAGACACGAAGGTACAGATGAATTAGGAATATGATTAATTGTATTAATAAACACTGTGTACAAAAGACCGATTCATATATTCACAGAATTTTTTTGATGTTAAAAGGATACCTATATTTTAAGAGCCGAAGACGTGTCTGAAATGATTCATATCCAATACACATTTATGTTACTAGGTTCAAGTAACAAAACAATCCGTTAATCCTCGTTATGTTTGAGATCAAAAGGGTATTCACATGTTCAAAAATGTATAAAGTGCAGTCACTTACCCAATAGAGGATGGCGGTCCAGCCCTCCATGGTGATGCACTGGAAGACAGTGAGCATAGCGAAGCCGATGTTGTCAAAGGACGTGATGCCCCTGTTCGGCCCCTCCCACTTCTCTAAGCACGTGCTCTTCTCGTACTCACACACGTTCGCGCCAAACGGCGCCAGACTCGCGTTGTCCGCGTTGCACGGTGTCGCACTATCGCCTTCGTTAACTATTTCACCTGTAATTATTTTGATTAGTTTAGTGGCTGTATTAAAGTATTTGAGACTAAGGCTAGGAGTATGATTAAGTTTAGAACCAAACTGATTAATGTCTGAAATCAAAGCGAATCCTTGGTGCTACTTAATTTATCCGTCTTTCTTTACACAAAAGTAGTCTCTAAACATCGGAAATAAGGTCTATAGTGGAGTTAGTTGAGAGCCGTCACCAGTGACCGCTTGGGGATTGATTATGAATTGATATGAGTTTACGAAAGTATTCAATACAGTCTCTTAACTTATTATAAGATCACATAAACAACTACGTCTTAGTAAAAGCAATATTTTACTCATTACAATGATAAAATCACTGATCATATCGCTAGTAGTAAAATTGTTACACCGAGACTTAAAATGCAACATAAAAACTAGTCCTCTAATTAACTTTTATAGTCAATAATTAAAACGTGGAACTTTCCAACTTTCTGCTTATTACATTTTAAAGTTTAGCCGTTAATTTAAATTTCCACATGCAATGGTGTCGCTTGTTCGAGTTTGTTACTTCATGGTAGGAAGTGTTATACGAACTTAAACTGGGTTGTTGTAATTTACGGACAGTAAAGTTCATATTTACAGTCGCTGGAAAGTTTACCGAGAATCGATATAGATAGTTTGTTATTGTTTTAGTTGCATGGTTTTGTTCGTTTATTTTGTGCTAATTATGTTAGCTTTGCCAATACCATTGTTCCATATTAAGTTTAGTACCTGGGGCTATTTACATGATATTTGATCAGCTATTTAAATTTTTTTTTTATATATAAAACGTTGCCCCACATTAGGATTTCCTCCTGTGTCGTGGGTGCGTTTACAAACATTCAAGTTCACATACACAATGACACCCAGACCCGAAACAACAATTTGTGGATCACACAAAGTGTTGTTCCGTGCGGGAATCGAACCCGCGACACGTTGCACGGCAGCCGGTTGCCCAGCCACCGCATCAACCGTGCAGTCAAAATAATAATGTATTTTATATGTTTAAATTGGCTATATTATTATCACCATCACCATCAAAAGCCTATAAATACCCACTCGAAGTCAAAACCTCTTCTCACACGGAGAAGATTTGAGCATTAATCACCACGCTTGCTCAATGGGGGTTGGCGATTACAAACTTATAATTCGAAATTATAAGCCCAGGTTTTCTCAAGATGTTTTCCTTCACCGTTTGTCAGTGTTATATAGATAATCTTCAGAAAGTACATATAGTTAACTTAGAAAAAGGCACATTGGTACTTGCCGTTGGTAGGTTTCGAACCCGCACACTTATGCAAGAAGCGGGCGATTTAAACCGGGCCACCACGACATGTATATGGCTAAATGGTGTTACATATTTATGTTCAAGTTTTGTTTGATAAAAAATTATATAATAATGTATTGTATATTGTATATTGTACCTACGTGATAACTAACGATAGCACTTCTTTAGTGTACTTGATTTAGAGAGAAAAATTACCCCACTGACTGGTCAAACCACAAATGCCCATTTGACAATTATTTCTATAAGCGTTTATAATTAAGTATACTTACTAATATCTTCTAAATTATAACAAGTCTTATGCAGCGCCCCTGAGTAGAACTCGAGGCCGATGATAGCGAAGATGACTATCGCGAAAAGCACCAAGAGGCCGATCTGCAGCAACGGCGCCATCGCCTTTATAATAGACTTCAGTACCACTTGCAGACCTATACAGAAATGACATTTATGTACATTACATCGTAAGGCTCATTATAGCGTGGCTTGCCCTGTGATTTATGATCTTTTGATAGAATTTGCAGGTGTTAAGCCAGGTCATGCATGACTTTTTAGTAGGAGTAAAATTATTGTTTTTCTTTAGTTACTTATTGGAAATTGTAATGGAAGACTTTTAATGTAGTTAAACATTACTAAGGAAAGTACTTAATATAATTATACATACGTACTTTCTATTGGGACGTTAATACTATTTTAATTTTTCGTTTCAGGAGGAGATAAGCCCATATTTAGAAATAAAGCAGATAAATAATAAAGTAATGTTTACAAAATTAAATATTGATATTCATAAATTACAGGGCAAGAAACAAATTATACGAAAAATATAATTTTGAAAAAAAAGAGGAAAAAAATCAATTGTTAATAATTTGTCAATTATTCAACTTTGACATCGTTAATAATGTAAAATAAAACATAATTACCAAGTAGGTGGGTTTCTCGACGTTACTTGCTTATTTTATCGATGAATCAAAAGAAGATTTCAAAAGATACAGACAACAAGAAATAGATTTTCTGACTAAATGCCATATATCTAGAGATGAAAATCAATAACTATTTATTGAAAAAGACATCAGAACAATGGTAACACAATATAAAATCAAAAAGTTATCGTGCACAATGATATTAATTACACGTTGCATAATTTTTTTTAAAAATGGTGGAAGAAATAGAATTTCTTTTTTTTTTGCGCGCGGATTCACAAGTGGCCAGTAACATTTTTATTTTTTGATGATTTAAAAACTTTTTGTTTTTTTTTTCTATTCGGCCAGTGTTTTAGTGGTTTTAGTGGATAAAATTATGCAACGATGTAACTAAAGGTTCTACAATACGATTAACTAGTCTATGAATGTTCTAGAACTCACTAGGAACGCCCGATACTAATTTAAGGGGCCTCAGCACCCTAATGGCACGCAAGGTCCTGAAGTCGACGTCGGCTGGCGCGATCGGCAGCTGCGTGATGATACTGCCAAACACATATCACTCGATACTATAGCTTGAACTAGCAACTAGCTGAGTAATAAATTACTACTGAAGACTGTGCTTTTGTTTAAAAAAAATTATAGAATAGAAATTGAAAGAAGAAAGAAAATACAAATAATGTAACTGGTAAAGGTTCTACCAAGACAATTTTTTAATGGACAAATTCCATAAAAGGCCCGTGTGTCCATGGTGCTGCCTTGGTTAGAGCTACAAATTGCACTTGTTTTAAACGAAAATAAAGTTATTGTCGTCAGAAATGAAACGAAAAACAAAGCACAGCCTTGATTTGATGTAAAAATAACTACAATCTAAATATCGTGTATCTAATTAGTTAGATTGTTATATGCTAAATAAATTATGTTAATTATACGCATTTTAATCTAAATACACCATATTTATTCACACCTAAAACCATTTCTTTATCTAAATTCTTACGTATTAGCTTTTATATTTGATGTAAACCTACACAATACACAAAATGTATAGCAAATAGTTACTATTATGCAACACGTAGCTTTAAAACATTAAACACTTCCAATAAATCACATATTAATTAAAATTCACACATTTTCTAATCTATATTAAGTATGTCAATAAACATGTCGAGAATACGATGCTACGTATTTTTATACTAATATAATAATAGATTAAAAATTCTATTTTCCATAACTAGATGTAGTTCTACATTCAAAAAAGTTTCAAAATTCGAAAACATCTAGCGAGTAACGTCTATAACAAATAAGGTAGAGGTATTATGTGAACTTTTCGCCAATTACTGTGAATTACTTGGTATCCGCGAGACGAGCTTGAGCGGTCGGAGCACTCTGAACGAGCGCAGCATCCGCAGGTCAACGTCCACGTTGTATTCGGCGAATATCGTCATCGACCTAGTTTTTGTTATCGAATATTCAATAATGTCAACCCTTTCTTTGTTTCTTTGACAAAACCTAGTGTCCTACGATTAGTTTCAACCAATTGTGTGGCCTAATAGTGTAGTGTAAATCATAATTTGTATATAATTTAGATTATAATGATGACGGTTTACTAAAAGCGCCCTCGGTGCTGAACGAAGAATATAGTTTACAGCAATGGAGGAGGCTTTTACGTAATTATATGTAGGTAATACTTTTTTGGAAAAACAAGTTATGGAAGAATTGTTCCTTTTTTGATTAGTTGCCTACTAAAGATTATTTGTATGTGTTCTCAATTTAAATGATGGTAATCGTAAGCCGTAAACAAACAAACGAATATCGAATGAGAACAAAAAAACAATTTGTTATTAGTATGTATCAGTTAGGTACAAAAGATTTAATCACAGGCTAACACTGTTTGTTAAAAATAGATATACATAAGTAAATACAGCATACATTAAAGAATGAATTATATGATACAAACCATTCTAAATTATTATGCTATAATAGGAACATTTCTTCACACAACTTCACAGTTACCTCTTACAAAAACCAAATACTTAATAATTACAATAAAAAAATGAATAAAAATTTCACTCACCCAGTTACTACAACGAAAAAATCCATGATGTTCCAAACGTTCCTAAGATAAGATCCCCTGTGTAAAACAAAACCTAATGCTAAAATTTTTAACGAGGCTTCTACACAAAATATTCCTAAAAAGTACGCCTCGGTCTTTTCCTGGAACAATGGAAAGAGTATTCAGTATTATTGCTAAAATTAATTTACTGCACGTAAGTAGGTTATAATAAAACAGAATATAACAAAATTAACTAAAAATCGTAGAGTACTCACGTGAATATACTGAGACAAGCTCTACTAGTAACACCTATGCAAGCGCCAACGCTAGCCAGTAGGCTGTGCAACATCGCCGCGACCGCGCACGCTAGTCATGTAAGAACCCCTCTGTGGTTCGAAACTAGTAGTTTTTATCAGTATATTCGCGTGAGTAACCCGTGATTTATAGTGAATTTAGTATGTCTCACGATAGTTATTATAAAAAAAAATATGCAGCTACAGTCTCAAACAGGGAAAAATGTAACATGGAACATAGAAAAATAATTATCTCTTTAACGCCGATGACGTATGACCGCATGAACCGATGGAATAACAAGAAGAAAGAACTTTATTTCACGCTAAAAAACAAGTGACATACAGATGTGTTATTCTATTAGTAGGTACTGATGGATACAATATGTTCATGTACTAAGTCTGCGGTGAAGTGGGACCAGTTCAACATGTGCAAACCGGGCCTACGCTTGCTGAACTTAAATGATATTATTTTAGAAGAAATATTATTATGTACCTATTGCCGGAATACTGAAACGTTAATTTTAAGTCGTGCTCAAATATAGTGCCATCTCTGTCATTTTACAAAGAATTTGTAGAGATAGAACTACCTCTATACTTAAGCACGACTTAAAATTGAGTAGCGTTTCAGTAGTCCGACATATGTCTCAAATATTTACAATTCTGATTCTGTTTTTGGTTTGGAATCTGAAAAGAAAAAGAAACTGAGAAACCTTGAGTAAATAAATAAAGAAGGAAATATAGTTGTTGTTGTAGTATTACACCTTTATCAAATAGTTGAGTGAGACAATAAGTTAAAATTGATAGTACATAACTGATCCCCTATAAAGCAGGGGTTTAATCGCCAGTATAGCAATATTTACTTTGCGCCATACACGTGTTGTTGACAATTCATAAAAAGAGATTGCCCTTGTCAGTATTTGTACAGAAATCATTACTTTTTATACACTTTCATATTATTATGTGTGTTAAATGCCACTTTAACTCCTTGTGTATAACGTTCTGTTTTCTTTACATTGCGATAGAAAGAAATACATAATATTAAACAATAAAGGCTTAAATATAAAGCGTTGCAAACAAAAATGCATTCTTTTCCCTTAAATTAAAGTTACATTTAGTTTACTACGTGTCATTTGTAATTGCTAATATGTCAGTTGTTTTTTCATAAAATGTGTTCCATTTTTAAACAATCGCAAGGCTGATGTAGACTATACATGAGTGTGCTAAAATATACTTCAGCTGTAAAATAATAAGGTTCAACTTACCAGATTCTGTGCTAAGATGGTCTTATCGCCGTTGGGCAAATGCTCCTCCAGCGCCAGCACCACGCAGTTGGCGATGATGGTAAGCAGCACCGCGTACTCGAAGGGCGGCCACTCGATGATAAACTTTGTGTACCTGGAAATAAATCACGTATTTATTTAAAACGTAAGTTCGCAGAAAAAATATTACCTCAAGGTTTGTATTTACAATGAAAATGGACTAAAATTATTATTGATGCCTGTGGTTTGTTGAAATACAAATTTTCTAAGCGACCCATAATGTATTTTATATTGTGTTTCATATAGCGGCAGTCACCAAGTTAAGTCATCCATTGCCCTACCTACTCAGGCATAAGCAGGGCTTCATATTATATTTTATGCACACGTTCAAAGCACATCCATAATTGATTGCATTGTCTCTGCAATGATCGCTTTCTAGAAACTTCAGTCTCCTCACTTTTCTTTATAATGAGATGTTAATACGATATTTTCCATTATGATGTTAATGAGGTCCTTGCCTAACAAAGGAGGTTATTTGCTAGTTTTAGAACCTATTTACTTAATGAGAATATATGTTGGTACACAACCTAACTTAACTTAGGATTCTCATTTCTACAGATAAGTCAATAATTTGATAAAAACCCGTGCAATACAACTGTACAATATTAGTAACTTAGACTCTGGAATTGTGCCCTGTTTTAACAATAGTAGAAGCACTTAATAAGTCGTATGACGAGGTGGTGATCTCGCTTGGTGGTACGCGATTATGTGGTTGAAGATGAAGCATGCCTATCTGAAGCAACCTGTTCACTCACAGGACATAAAAACACCCCAGTTGTATTTTTTTGTGTAAAAAGCTTTAAAACATTATAATGTAACATTCATTTTAGAACTTGCGAACATATTTTGCAGTAACATTTTATAGATACATGTTATATAAATCCGACAAGCAATGTTCCTATCGTTCAATGCAACTCGGCCAGGTGTGAAAAGTTCCATAAGTTTAAAAGGTTTCTTCATACACGCTGTCCAATGGACGGGCAGGGAATGCACTTCGTATTTTAGGAACTGCGTATTTCCTCCAATAAGAGAGGGGTAACTATTTACTTTTTAATGGTTGAAGTTGTTAAGGTTAATGTTTAAATGGATTCTATAATTTTTCTCTGTAGACATAGATAGTTTCTTATAATTACAGTAATTTTCTCTTAACTCGTTGAGTACCGTCTTTGTAGACACAATTATAGAACAATAGGTTACGGTCACCGGTGACCGCTTGGTGTTTGACAGTTTAAATGGTAACTTATAATTAGTTCATGCCATGTGTTAATATGCAAATGCAACTAAAATACCCTCATTGGACGAGTGGTCGCAAGTGCGACTGACGGGCAAGGGGTGTCGAATTCGATTCCCGGGTCAAGTTAAGAAATAGTGGGTTTTAAAAGAAATCTCAGTAGTAGATCTGGAATTGTGCCCGGTATATGGATATAGGCTCACCCCCTATTACATGGGACTCATAACATAAATAGTGAAAAGTGGGTGTTACATTGTACAGAGGCATTAAGTGCCGTAAATGTGCACCGATGTTATGTTATGTTATGTTATGCAACTAAAATATTTTAGAATACGCAAAAGAATTAATGTCTAAGCTCCTCGAAGCAAATTACTCATTTGAACCTCAATGTTAGTCTATGCCAAAGGTCGTGAATTTCTTCTCTTTAAATAATTTTTATCGATAAAATAAATAATAATTACAAAGTAGAAAAATTACCGGAAATAGTTTTTCCTATCAAATATACCAACTATTATATTTATTATTTCTTCCTGAAATTAAATATTAAAAGGAAATACTTCTTTAACTATTCAAATAAGCAAGTCTATGTATATTCCTTTTCGCCCCGTCCTATATACATAATTTAAATTTCATGAATTTCGTGACGACACGGAAATATTTGAAACGAGTATTGTTTCAAAATGAAATCACTGATGTTTTTGGGGTTGCCTTCAATAGAATGAAATTGTTTCTATTTGTTTTTGTATTTCATTTAGTTTGTGTAATGTTAAAAAGAAAACTAGATTGTGGATAGAATAGGTGTCTTATACTGGCTATTCAATAAATAGTGCACCATACTGTAAGAGGACATGACTGGGATCAATACCTACCTAAACATAACCTAATATAATTATGTTCAGCGAAATTGATTGCTGCTACAAGATGTGTATATTTGTTTTTCGATATATGTCAAAATTTGGTGTAATTTTGATACATTTTCCATATATTGGGTTGTCTAGGTAGGTATTGATCATAGCTATCTCTCCTCACAATATTTACTGCACTATTTACTGGACATATTAACTGTATATTATTAATTATTTAATACAATAAAGAGACTTGGTTATCTAGTATAGTTTGTATTTAAAATATATTTAATATTTACATTATACATGCAATTGAAATAATTAAACTGCATTGTTACTTATTTATGTTAACTATTGTGACCATTGTTTATAGCACCTTGAAACATTTTATGTCTAGAGTTTGGGATTATAAGTATTCACTATTCACGTATTATTATTTTTTTGTGGGATAAGCCTGTAAACTAGCAGATGGAGCACGGATTGTAAGCAATCGGTGTCGCCCATGGACACCCGGAATACCGGAGGCGTTGCAAGTGCTTTTCCGGTCTTTTGGCGATTAGGAATTTGAGAATTATTGGGATTCAGAAATTCGGGGGGAGAGGGAAGGGATTTGGCCTCCGGTAACCTCACTTACACGACGAAATACAACGCAAACGTTGTTCCACGTCGGTTTTCTGTGAAGCGGTGATATCACTCGGCTCGAGCCGGCGCATTCGTGCCGAAGCATGGTTCTCCCACACTTAAACGTATCTCATTGTAAATGTTTTTTGTTAAACACGACTGTTGTTTTTGTACATGACTGATATAAGTAAATTTTGTAACATTACTATAACACCGAATCTACACAAATGAAATTGTCTCTAATAGAAAAAAAATACGTTTCTTTTCTAAACAATGCACACAGTTCTCTACGCAAAACAATCTCTTTTTGTTACCAAATTGAGTACACCTAGTGTAAGAACGTACTTGTTTACAAAATGCATTAGGGGGCGAATAAGGTGTGCGTTTAATATGTATAAGTGGGGGCAATAGCGTCCCACCCGAAGCGCGCCATGCTAACTCTTGGCCAGATGTTGCGGAGGGTTAAGTCGCAATATGAACACGATAGTCCATGCTTTCGGGGATGAATTTAGTTCTATCTGTGGTATCTGGTTTCTGAGACACGTATTTCGAGTTTTAATTGAGATGCTGTTAGGAAAATTAATACAATGTGAGTATTGTGTCACTACATACATTTACCTTTTCCGAGTTCTATGTACTTTCTAAGATTATTTAGACGCCATTGACAAATGGTGAAGGAAAACGTCGTGAGGAAACCTGAGCTTATGGCTAATAATTTCTAATAATTATTATAAGTTTGGAATCGCCAAGCTGCATTGAGCAAGAGTGGTGATTTAAGTTGAAACCTTCTCCGTGTGAGAAGAGGCCAGTAGTCGCTACTTATGGGGTGTTGATAATGATGATAGCATGCATTAAATCTCTATAATATCATTTGTGTAGTGTGAAATTGATTTCATAATTATTATTTAGATTTATTTTACACGAATATTTAATTATCAGCACAACATATTATATTAATGTTATTACTATGCTTACTATAATATGGTCACGACTTATCAAATCTATAATCATACATCGCTTACTAAGTGCAATTTAACTTAAAAGTTTATTATGCAATAAACATTTCATACGAAATTACTTGATATTGTAACTCGACAGTAAATAACAATGAAAATAAGCAACTAATTTAACTGTTCACGTCACAGTGGGTTCCAATTTGTATTTATTTACGTTCCGCATGGTTTGTTGGCACCACGCATATCGAACGCCAAACTATGTCCCGCGGAATGACACCCAATTATCTACGCCTACCTTTAAAAATGTTAACTTATTTTTGGCGCGCTTTTCCCTGTCACTGCGATTAAGCGTGACCTTTTTTCCCTCGCTAATATTTTTTTTTATAGAATCACAGTGTCATGTTATTTTTAAAGTTTGACTAATTTTGTTTTTTTCGTTGATTTTGTAATTAAGCAATGAAATCCTGTTTATACCTATATGTATATTTATGAAAATATTGACTATCGTAAGTTAAGATTGCATATACTTAGCTACTTATCTTTTCTGTACCTTAAACACAGCTGCCTATTTAATTTGTTACATTCCGTATAAACAGGATCGTATTTTAGAGACGATGAATTGAATGATCTCTTACATACCTACATATATGACGGGGACAAAGTTTAAACATAATGAATTTCTTTACCTCCGAATAGGATTTTCGTCGGCAAATATAAAGAGTGAGCTGGGCCCTGGAGTAGCGGGCTGGTGCGCGCCGCCCATGGTATCAGCTGGCGCCGCGCGAGCCTGCGCCCCCGCCGCCTCCTGCGCTGCCGCCAACCTGGAACATAACACCGCACACTTAGTCAAGAGTCAACGATCTTTAATACTTATGTGAATCTGGTAGCTCGGGCTCTTAACACAGACAGTAGCTTTACGGAAACACAAGGAGTTGTTTGTATAATTTACGGATTTAAATTGAGGTCGGTCGTACAAAAATTGATAAGTTATACTTAGTTCCTGTAATGTCATGGTGTATACAAATATCCACACCATACCAGCATACCTACGCTAAAAATATAAGTCTATAAAGGAAATTGACGCAGCAACCGTGTCTTTCGCGGGCCTGCGGACGGCGAGCATGGGTGGCTCCCCATCCGACCAGAAACAGACCCGAGCGTACGGCGCGTCGCGTTCCGCGCGCGCCTCAAAGAGCCATCAGACCAACACAGATAGCCACAGAGGCCCAACAGAGCCGATGCCGATTGCGATGCGACGAACCTAACGGGTTACCGGGGCTCCGGCTCGACGTACAGGAGAAGGAGCAGGGTGGTTTTTAGTCAGTAAGAGTTTGAAACACCCTCCTGCCTCACCCAGGCGGGAGCAGTAATTTGATGATTTTCTCCCCTTAAAAAAACTGTGTGTTTTGCACGAGACAGGTACGCAAAATTCAGTTTACAATAAAATGGTCTTTAACAAAAATAATTAATTTTGCAGGATTCCCAAAGAGGATTGGGTGTATTTGTAAGATTTTTCTTGGTAAGCATATTTAAATTTTAATAGAGTTGATTCAATTAGTGTCAAACTTTTATGAATAAAATACATACAATGCATTTAAAATGTATGTTAAACCCCAACCACTCCATCTAGGAGCATAACATAAAACACGACCATAGCGAGCACACACCGCGACCGTAGAAGTTGTATCAAACTGAATTATTTAATCAAGAAGTTAGATGTACCAGGGCAGCATAAGGTAGTAAGTAGTATTATTAATTCGTTGTGCCGTAGCGTGATACAATATCATTAAACAGTTCTGTGCATGACTAGGAAGGCTCGAGCGGTTAATGATATCATTATCAATTAAACTCCAATGTCCCGCTAAATATGAAACTGTGTTAAATTATAAATATTAAATAGTCTCCCATAGCGAATGTTTAGACGTTACAGTGATAATTACAATTTTTAGTTTAATGTTTCTGCGAAATATAATTACGTGATTACAATTTTGTTTAGTTATTTAATTAGTTATAATTATTTTTGTAGGTCGTGACAGTTGTGGACGTCTTCCGTGTGTTTTAGTTACAACTTTTAAATAATGAATAATTTTCTAACTATAATTTTCGAATCAAATCAAATAGATGTATCAAGTAGTCATGTTGCGTCAACCATGTTAATGATTACAGGGTTTACACAAAGGTAAGTTATAAATCTTGTAATATACTGGTCTCATAGATCCAAAAATAAATATGTTTCCTATCTATCACCGAATAAAGTCAGATGCAGAACTCAGGACACTGCCGTATCATTATACAGTCGTCTTCAAATATTGTATTTAATTCACATTTTATATTAAATATGATGTGATAAATAAAATATGAAACATGTGTCCTTCGACCACACCGATAAATAAGGAATATTCACTTTCAAAAACCCCGGTAACCGGAATATTTTCTTGACAATAGTAATTGTACTGCGACTTGTACTACAGCATAATATATTATGCGTGACGCAAAATTGAATAGACAGGGAAAATCTAGGTCAGTCTGTTGGTACAGTTTGCAATGATAGTTGGAGGTGGGTTTAGAATTTTGATTTGATTTACTGTACTATGGTGTTGATTTTGATAAAATCTTTTAATTAACACTACATATTCAGTATTAGTTTTTTTTAAGAACGTTCCCCCACAACGTTTTCTCCTGTGTCGTGGTTGCGTTTACAAACATACAATTTCACATACACATGACACCCAGACCCGGAACAACAATTTGTGGATCACACAAATAGTTGTTCCGTGCGTGCAGTCAACGTCAATACGGTAGTTGACAGTTAGTCAAATTCAATACTTTTATTGAAATGTCAAAAACGATACTTTTCTATGAGTTTTGTATTGGATCGCTACTTATGACGTCATCATATTTCTGCGTCAAATAGCATACTTATTTCCTTAAAATTAGCGAGATAAAATCCAAAAGCAAGTAAATTGTCAAATCAATGAAAAGTTGTAACAATTTATTTTAAACCTAGCAAACTAGCCGATTGGTTTAAATAATGTCGATAAAAAAATCATCAATATTATATATTGGTAGGGTTGTAGTTATGCTATGACCCCGACTATTAAACCTACCGAGAGTATAGGTTTATTAATAGTCGGCAAGGCGCATGTAATGCCCGATATGTTGCAAGCGTTCATAAGCCATGGTAACAACTTACCATCAGGTGGGCTGGGAGCATTTTTTGCCACAGTCGTGGTATTTTTTTTTTTTTTTTTTTTTT